TGTATGTGTGGGTGCGTATGTGTGGGTGTGTATGTGGGTGTGTGTGCAGGTTGTTTCCGATTTGCGTCTCCCTGCAAACCAAGCCTTAAAATGATCCCCTCAAACACATGGCCAATGGATCGACCCAGGGAAACGCGGGCGAAAACCACCCGTTCAAGGATCCCCGCTCCAAGACAATTGGACAAAAATCCTCGCACAGACATGAGAAAAGCCCTGGCCGCAACTCAAAGCTGGAAAGGACTCGTGGAAAATCCGGATGCAGTGCCTTTGGGGAGGAGGCGCAGGAGGGCTTGGTCCAGCCACGTGAAGATTGGCGGACCCAAGCAAGCCCTGCTTTGGCACCCCGTCATACTGCTACATGTTCCATTCATCCCCAAGAGAGATCCCAACCGGTCGACAAACACTTTTAAGCCACAACACATATCGAGGCACCCGAAGTCTTGCCAGGAACAGTCCCAACAAGAAAGAATTACAGACATCCGCCCCTTCAACTCTTTGCATGGCTTTGGTTAAGCTCTGCTAGCTAGCAATTAAAAGGTTTCAATTTTGGTGCTTCTCTTCTCATCGTTCCGCTCCTGCCAATTGAGCACTGGCGCTTCCAGAAACTGGGCCCCGACCGGCGACACCAGCAGGGCACCCAGTCTCTTCAACGGCCAGCCTGGCCAAACAAAAATATTACGAGCCGGCTTTCCGAGCCGGACAACAGCGACGTGACCAATTCGGAATGGACTTGTCTGCACTTGAGTGAAGAATTCAGAAGGTCGTGAACCCGCTATGAATCTATTTCCAGCGCAAGACTAGTTTGAAGCATAACGCGTTGCCAACCGGGAGTGAGCATCCTTTTCGAACCCAACGAAGTGCCAATTGGGAGTGGAGAACCCAGCACGAACTTACCTTGCCATCTATACCTCTATAACAAGACGCACACCTCTGAATGAACAGAGCTCTGCAAATGATCAGATTTGGGATGGCTGCACATGCCGCAAAACCAAGCCTTCAAGTGCCCCGCTCTCTCCGAATCTCTCTCACGGTCGAGCCGGCCTTCAGGACTGGCCTGGTTTTTGGTCTGTTGGAACTTGTCCACTGTGCTGACCTGTGACTGGGACGGCTCGAAGCCTCTCACGGCGGACGAACCCCGCGCTCTTTGCTGGGCACCCCCGCGATCCATACGTCGCCGTCTCCGCTGGGCGCGGAGCAAAGCATGAACTCCTGCGCGAATGCAAGGAGCCGCTTCAAGCTTTCGGAGTGTCAAGGAATGCTTCTAGTTTCTAGTTTCAAGTTCAAGGACGTGAAACAAACTCGAAGCCGGCTTCTCTCCAGTTGCCCAATTGCCCGGCCTTGTTGCGCGACTGGTACACCGGCTTGCCGTGCTGCAAGCCTTCGGTTTTGCAGAGCACGAACCTCAGGGCGCTTGGCCATGGTAAGAGATGCAAGCCCTGTGAGTCCTGTCCTCAAACGAAACGGGTTGAACCGAATCAAAACGAGGCACTCTGTGTTGAGCGCGTTGTTCTCGAAACCACCTCGCGCGCATTGCAATCGAGTGCACGCTAATAAACTGGCATCATCCTTGCCAAGCTAGCTGTGTAAATTGATGCAAATTGCAAAACACATCGCTCCAGAGCTTTTTCTGGCAAAAATAAATCTTAAGCAGGACAACTCTTCAGCGTCAGCATTACAAAACCAAAAACTGTGTGCTTTCCATTTTCAGGTTCACTAGGAATTGCTGGAGCAGCAAGCTACAAGCGGTCAGTCTCAAAGCAGCTCGGCATCCCCAGCGTCACCTTGCTGAGTGTGAGCTATCAAAACCAAATGTTTGGGGAGGTTCTTAAGTTTGAGTCAAGGCAAATCGCAAGCTTGTGTCCTCCCTCCTGTCCTAGATGAGGCCCCCCATTCTCCCCCAGCCTAGCTCGATGACATCCCCCACGTAGCTCGGTTGCACCAGTTTCGCACCTTGCCGCAGCCATCCGCCGCCTGCATCGATCGGCCGGGTCAACATTTGCATCTAATCCCAGTACACTTTGTAGTGAGGCCAAGGGAACACAAACTCGGTTGCTTTCTGCTCGCCTGCTAAAAGTTTAACTTTTAGTGGTTTAATGGAAAACCCATTAATTGGCAAGAAGTTAAAGTCCTAACATCCAAGCAAAATGCAGCAAAGCAAACACTGGCAGAAGCCATCTTGCGACCATCCCTCTGCATGCCTGAGAGGCGGATGGTCTTCTGCAGAACCTGGCACGTAAAATGGCATGGCAGAGTGCGAAGGCGGCCAGCTCGCAGCTTCTTCACGGATTCGCCGCTGGTCCAGAAGTGCCCCCTTTGAGAACATGTGGGGTCTGAATCTTAATTAGACCCTGTGATGGACACCAGAATTCGGTGGGGATCCATGTCCACCAACCAGAGGGGGTTTCCAACTCTCAAAAATTACGTTTGTCATGTTCCTTCCTTCTTGCGGTGAACCCATCCAAAAGGGGCAAAGAGACGTCAGCCGCACAAAGAAACTCGACGCACAAAGGGGCGCGCCGGGCACCTGATTGGCGTCCAGCGAGTCTGCCAGCAAAGCGCGGTCGTCCTGGGTCCGCAGCCTCAGCTTCGAGCAAAAAAGAATGCAAAAACCGTCGCCCGGAAAATCGGAAGACCAAACCTGGCCTTCTGAAAAGCCCAAAGCGAGCTGAAAGCCTGCAATCCCTGGGCACCTGACCTGCGGGTGTATGTGGTGAGCCATCGCCGCCAGTGTTGGCTGGCCATGACCAGCCGTTTCACCATGCGGAACCTGGCGAGCGTCTCGTCTTTCCAGGCGTGGGTTGTGTTCTCTTTGCGGGTTTTCGGGGTTGGTTTACGTTAAAAGGGAAGCCAACAAAAAAAAAAAACTTTTCCCCGCCAAGGGCCCTGGGTTCCCTCCAAAGACAACCCCAACCATCGGGAGCCCGGGCTCGCCACCGGGGCTCGCCACCGGGGCTCGCCACCGGGCCTCACCAGCACCAAAAGCACCGCGGAGAACCAGGCGTCGTCCACGGGAAGCGACAGCAGCCGCAGGAGCCCCAGGAAGGTCTCCCGCTCCTGGGGATTTGGCGAACCACATGGCCAGGGGCTTTTCAAAATCCCAACCGCCTAGCCCCCAGTGAACATCCGATATCCAACCACTAAAATAGAAAGCCTAAAATGGGTGGTAAATTCACCTGCCCCAAAATGGGATACCATTGGTTTTGACCCACGGCCACATCCCTGTGGTGGGGGTCCAGATGCACCCAAAAAAAACGCACCAAACCACATGCAATGGCATCAGCTGGGTCAAGATGTACCAAAAATAAATGGCACCCTGGTAAATGGACACATGGCTGTAGGTCAAGATGTACCAAAAAACAACTGGTAAATGGTAAATGGAAAGACTCAAGCCTGCGGTTTGCCCTACCTCTTCAGCATTTGAGCCACACCCGACATCGGTTTGGCGTTGTTTTTCGTCTTTTTCGGAGGGTGCCCTTGTTTCAGGTTGGTCTAAAGGAAAACCAAATGGCAAAACCGCCATTTGGGTTGGTGAACCAAGACCAATGAACCCTAAGACCGTCCAGCGAGCCGGGAACCAAAACCTTGGACTGCCAGATGCTGAAGAAATTCTGTGTGTCTTGCTCTTGTGCTCAAGCGCATTTGGAGAAAGCAACATCAGGGGAACTCCATCCAGGAAAACGAGAAAATCCCGAAAGGGGCGTTGCCTCATCGCTCCCAGCAAACAGCAAGTGGCAAGTAACTCACTCGAAAGGCAGCCAGGCTGCACAAAACAATAAACCACAGAACAACCAGACCAAGGGAAAAGGGAAACCCGCGGAAGCTCTTCTCCTGCCGCGGCAGCTGGCTCCTTACATGGCAACCAAAAACATGTTGCCTGCCACACAGAGAGAATACCTTTCCACGCGGTGCTGCGCCCTCATGAACAATTCGAAGATCATGGACACGCATAGCTACGCACATGAACCAAGAGCTTGCAGTGGCTGGCACTGGTTGGCACTGGCTGGCACTGGCTGGGTTCGCAAAGCAGCCGGGTGACACCAAAGGCTCCACGATTCCGATGCTTGCCGCATCTTGCGAAGCTGCTCGGCAGGGCACGCGCGGCTGTGGCAGGAAGGCCTGGCGATCCCTTCCCCCGCTTGCATCAGGCCGAGCTGTCACTTGAGCTCAGGTCTCATGACGTCAAAGTACACGATTGGACTCTGGCAAACGTCAGGCAGGGCTATCACCAAACAAGTCGGTGGCATCTGGCATCACTGGGCGAGCAACGCGCGAGCGAGTTCCAGACACAGCTGGGCAGGCCCGGCCCAGTTGAGCTTTTCCCCAACCAGGAGTGAAGCGATTTGTCCACAAAAAAAGGCTTGCTTCGGGTCCCGGCACGCATGGAGGTTGACCTAGACTAGCGGGTCTGGCCATGGTCGCCCTGTTTGTTGCTGGTTGATTCAGGCAGAGGGCACAGGGGCGCCAACGAAGCTCCAACGAAGCTCCCGCCTCCTTCCAGCAAACCAGGATCAGAAGCACTGGGATGGCCCGGCGCCATGCCATGCGGCCGCCAGACGCGCAAAGAGACGAGTGGAAAAGTCGCTTCAGCTGTGCGCCCTTCGGCCTGGCAATGTTTTGTTGATGTCAGTGGCTCTGTGAGGTGCGCGAGTGAAAGAAAACAACACCTGGGTGTCATGTGTCAGTACAAGAGAGCTAAGAAATTGAAGAAGAAAAAGAAAAAGTGCTGCCAGTGGCTGTTGTTTCATATCTGACTCATATGGAACAAATGATTGCATCAATCTCCCCAGGCAAGCAAATGCTGCGGGGCGGTATGGATTGACGGGCAAATTGATCGTGGCAAGTTCAACATTGCCCCGCTAAATTGATGTATCTTCCTGGTTGACTTGGAGGGCATATTCCAACCAGAATCGCAAAAAGCTCGTGTGGCAAGCGCTTTTTGCAGGGCATGGCAAGACCAAAAGCCAACGCGCTGCTGGTGCACTCTGCTCGGCACTGTTTGCCTCAAAGTCGACGTAGTCGTCCAAGTCTGAGGCTCCAGGCCTTGGCTGTTCATGCGAGCCAAGGACTCAAACCCGTTCCGGTTTCCGTGGTTTTTTCAGCACACTGCCAACCCTGCCTCTCAAACCACTCTTGGCCTTACCCTCGGAGCAGTGTGGGTCCGAAAAGGCCTACAGCTCGCCTTCACCGAGCTCCTAGCTGTCTGCCCAAGGCCAAGCTCAGCAGATCCTGAGTAGTATTCCACATAAAACACTAAAACACATTCGAGCGCGCTGACGTCGCGTTTTCAAGCGACTGCTACTGCTGTCCGAAGGTCTGCTCCCTGTGTTGCATCGAAGTCCTCCATGGCCGGAAAAATCAACTGATCGCTGATGTTCTCAGTGCGTTGTATGGGCTCAACGCTCGAAACCCTCTGTTTTGCTGTCAACAGTACCAAGGATCTGACAGATGTCAATATGGTGCTCGCATCCATACGACTGCGGATTTCTTGAGTCTAACCATTCACGGGCTTGACCGATGGCAGAAACTTGATAAAAAATGCTCTGGAAAAGGTGGCAGGCCTAGCAAACAACGGCGATACAGTGACAATAGAGCGAAAGACTGAGCAACAAGGATCAAACAACAGCCCAGCATACGGCCTTTTCAAGGCTCGCGAAACTTATCACTTGTGATCCACACAGTCGGCTTGGACTTGACGACCTCCTGCAAGGTGCACCCCGCGTCTCGTTGACCAACTCAACATACTCCCATACACCAGCTTCAACCCCGGTCAACTGAGGCAGGCAGGTTCTTCAAGAGTTGTTCCCTTTTTTTTCTGGGCCACTTGAAATCCTGTCATTCAGCGCTCCTTAAACCACTGTCGATCATCAGAAACCTCAGATCAGCATTGCATGTTCTTGCGCCGAATCGAATCCTGAAAACCCCCCACCTTGACACAATGTGTGGCTCTGCCAGGCGAACAACTAGCAGGCTGCATGCCCGGCTCATGTCACCTGACTTCAAGCCGGGCTTCCAAGTAGTTCTTCGTCCCAGCATAGCGTCCAAAGAGGAACGTAAGGATCACATCAGCTGCATTCCTTATCATTTCAAGCCCTAAGCTCAAGGCATCCCTTATTCCATGTTTGCAAGCACACAAACTAGCTACTTAAACCAACCTCGGACCTCCTTGAGCTTCCTAGCTGACCACGAAAACAAGCCGCAGCCACCACCGAGCCACACCTCTTGCTTTTCGCCAAGGTTCATAGCGTTTGTCCTGAGACGGGACAAGCAATGATGTGCGACTGCGACATTCTGCAACTGCAGCAGGCAGTCTTGTATGACGGGCAGGTGCTTGTTGCACATCACAATGTTTGCAAACAAATTTGCATAATATGTAAAACTGCTATGTCCACACACAAAGAGAAAGAGAGAGACATACAAATGAAGTGTGATTGTCACAGTGGTCCATTCAATTCAAGCTGCTTGCTGGGATGCAGAAAGATCAGGGAGTCATCAATGCCGCTGGCAAGCAGCCTACTGCGCAGGCGTTCCTCCTGCATGGGAATGACTTTGAAAGAACTCGCCCAAAAAGTGCCCCAAGCACTGACCTTGCCCTCGAACGGTCGAAAGGCCTGAGCTCAACACGTCGACGCATCGGAATAGAGCCACACAGGCATGCATGACAGGAGCTTTCCAAAACCCAGTTGCAGCAGAGACTCTGCAAACACGGCCACGCGTGATCTAGAAGACAGCCGCCTGTGTGGTGCTTTGCAATCTATCCAAGGAAACCATGGCAACCAATAGCTAACTGTTGCCAGACTCAATTGACTGCTGCGAGACATTCTGCCTTAGCAAGGTGAAGAACGGCTCTGGAACGCAGTCGCCATCGATGAAAACCTTCAGAATTGACTTTCTTGCAGGCCGTTCACCAAACACATTCCCTGCAATGCTTCAGAGCCACTGCTGTGCAGGACTCGCAAAAGGGTCGGACTGCACATCTCCACCGCAGGCGTTGATCCGGTGTACGCAATAGGTATTCTTGTTGGGCGGAGACTGTAATTTCGGTGTTGTTTTGTTTTATTTTGGGATTCTATGTTTTCGTCTTTGCCAGCAAGATGTCGCATTTTACAGCATTGTCTCACGAAATGTACGTATTTTACACTAGCCTGTCAACATCCCCGGCAACATTCCCAGCATCACCAGCAAAACAACAACAGCTCTGGTGGCTTTTATATTGCCTTAGCTTCCCACATTCCCAGCATCATCAGTTCCTCTCCGGCAAGCTTTTATTGTGTATGTAGGTAGGTAGGTAGGTAGGTAGGTAGGTAGGTAGGTCGATAGGTAGGTACGTCGAGGTAGGTAGGTATGTATGCATTCTAAAAAGCAGTGCGGGGGTGGGGGGAGGGGGTCGGCAGCCCACTCCTGATGGTTCCGAAAAGTGATGATTCAACTAAGGGTGCGCTGATAGCTGCAAAAAAACAAGCAGCGGGGTGGTTGTGAGGGGCGGCAGCCCCCCCATGATGTTCGAAGACGTGCATACATACAGACATACATACATACATAGACTACAGATTCAGCAAAGGGTGCCTTTATCTCTTTAACAGTAGCCCCCCCTGATGGTTTGAAAAAGTGATGATTCAACTAAGGGTGCATTAATAGCTGTAAAACTTGTAAAAAGTAGCGGGATAGTTGGGGGGCGGCAGCCCCCCCCATGATGTTCGAAGAAGTGCATACATACATACTTACATACACACATAGATAGATTTGAATAGATTACATTCATACAAAGAGAAAAAAACACTTGCTGGAGAGGAACTGGTGATAGTTTCCAAAGGCTGCAGGACCATCGAAAGGCTGCAAAAGCCACGAAGCGACTTGCTGGAGAGGAACTGAGAAAGCAGAGGATGCGAAAGGCCAAAGTCGCAAAAGCCACCAAAAGACGCAGAAACCTACAAAAAAGCCGCAACCCACCTTGAAAAACAAAAACAAAAAACATACAAAGACGGCCCTCCATTCTTGGTCGCTTTTTCACGGCAGACGGCTATTTCTCATCGCCAATCGCGGCCCTGTAATGACCCTTCAACAAGGCTGGTGATGTTCCACGGATGCGGGTGCAACTCAACAACAAACAAAAACGGGGGCAAAGCGGCCAACAAACAGTGCCCAAGGCCATAGGTCACACGACCCGAGATTTTTTAAAAGAGCCCACTGCCGTGGGAAGCAAAAGCATCGAAGATCGAACGCCGGCCACGAAGGACTAAGCGTGCTACACGCACAACGCTGGGAGGGAGTTCCATGAAGCTCCTGCGAGTCCAAAACCAATAGCCACTGGCACCTCCAAGAGGCAACCTTGCTGTGTTGACATGAGATAAAGACTTTGCTTGGGGAGTAAGAGAATCGTGAAGAGGACTTGAGTGGAGCCAATGCCATCAAAGCAACCGAGTCCTGTCAAGAAAGATGGCCATGCCGAACACGATCAGCTGTACAGGACCTTCAGCGAAAAATTGTGCCGCATTGAACACACAAGGTCCCAAAAAATGACCGCACCCTAAAAGGGAGCCTCTAGCTCTCTCTCTCTCTCTCTCTCTCTCTCTCTCTTTCCAGTTCCAAGCTGAAAACAGCCCTGTGGCCTTTAGCAGCAAGATGCATGTTGAGTGTCGTCAATTCTCATTGTATCCTGATCAAACATGTGCCTACGAGCGCAGCGCGCAGCTTGCATTTCGGTGGGCCCAAACGAATGCGGCAAAGCTCCGTCATTTATGAGACAAAGCTCTGCAAGTGCATTGGCATTTGCTGGCACAAAGTGACACAGAAGACTTGGACATGCGCGACTGGGTGGCTTGTGGTGGTTCTATCTTGATGCAACTATATCCACCAATGCAAATTGTATGATGACCCTTCCTTTCCCCCACACTCAGGTTGTGCACGTGCGGATTATAATAGGGCTTGTCTTCATTGGCTTCAGGCAAGGGGCAAGCGTCATAAAAATTTCTCAAAGGTAGGGTGTCCAGATTCCCCGCTTTTTGACAGCACACCCGAAGTGACAAAGCAAAACTCAAAGTGCTGAACTGTTCCGTAAAAGCAAAGCATGCCGGGGAAACAACTGCAATCATTATAATTGTTGCAGGGCGGTAACCCACGGTGCTTTGCCACGTGCCATGCCAGTTCCCAACAGTTTTTTTGTGAGAGCAATGAAGTCACGCGATCCAACTCCAATTATTCATTTGCCCTGGCACATGGTGATTCGAGCGCTCTTGAAATAGACAACGCAAAAGCGCAAAGCGCAACTTGCCAGAGATATGAGATATTCTGCCAAACTCTTCAAGGTACGTAGCTGGCGCTTCAAAGTAGACATCAGTCGCCAGCTGCATCTTTCACTCACCCCCCATGGCGCGGCCGTATGTCAGTGGCGCCGGTAAGCGCAAAGGGCCCGGAGAATCCAATGCATGGCCAAGGCCTCTCAACGTCCCGTCCTTTGGTCACTAGGCTAAAGAGTGCCCTGTGCAGAATCCAACCGTGTCCCATAAAAATCAGCAGCTCAGCTGCGCCAAGACAGCTGCAAGAGCGAATATCCCACAAGACTCAAAGAACTACTTACCAGGACTTGTATGCCACTATATTTACAATCGGGCACACTGTCTTTCCATCCGTCTTGTATCCGCCGACCCCTTCTCCTCCAAGGGGGAGACGCATGGGAAGGGTGATCGATGATCATCATCACTGCTACAAATGCCATCTCCTGGCGGCGCTAAGGATGCGTAATGATGATGGTGGTCACGATTATCTCTTATATATATATATACCTATATCTCAAAGGTTGGACGCGGCTGCAACTGGACAAAGTATAGTTATTGTCATAGTCGTCATCAGCTGCCACAGGCGTCACCGCGGACGCTCTTCGTGATGTTCAGTGATGCTGGCAAGGGCGTGTTGTTGGTGATGCTGGCGACGCGTAGCCGGTCCATCCGACCCCTTCCGCAAGTGGTCGGATTTGCTGGTGAATCATCATGACTCCTGGTGGTCCTGCTAGAGCCGACGGGAGATGTAGAGGATGCATAGTCATGATTATCATTATGACTGTAGGATGCACGATGATGCTTGTCATCATCACTGATGTTCAGGACGAGTGCTAGTGATGACTCTCATCACATCATCATCACATCATCGTCATCATCATCATCATCGTAGTCATCACCGTCTCTTTCTATTTCTACACTATACATTCAAGTGTGGCGTTAGACACCATTGGTGGTGCAGAGGTGATCATCATGATGATTGCTGGCGATGCTGAGGATGCGTCATGACGATTATCATCCTACTTGAAATGCAGAAGATGCGTGGACATGCTTGTCGTGATGATTGCTGGTGCTGAGGATGCGTCATGATGATTAGTGGACAAACCTGTGCTTGTGCCGGGCCTGCATCACGTGAAAACATACATACCATACAACTGCCAAACATGCTCTTTTAAGCCATGTTGCCTCCACACGCCTGACACCATATCATGCATTTGCCTGCAGCTTGCATGTTACCAACGTCCCCAATTCAGATTGGCCAAGATCAGCTCTGTCTTTCCGTCTGCGTTGCGGACACGTTGCGAAACTCAACCGAGAAAACTCGACACTCAATGAGTACCGACAAATGCCTCTTGCGGGCAAGCTCTGTAAAACACGGCAAGCACTCAGTCTCTTTCTCAGACTCAGAGTTTGCTCTGGATGAGGTCCATAACATCACCGCAGTTCTTCAGCGAAGTTGTCTCCTCGAAAACATGTGTCTGCCTGCGGAACATGTTTAACTCGAGCACTAAACACGGAGACACAAAAGCAAGTGCAACTCATCCGAGTGGACGTGGCTGTCCTCGTCAGGCAGCTCGACGTCGAAGGCCTCCTCCAGGGCCATCCTCAAATGGGCATCGCATTTGAGGTTTGGAGTCCCCCGATGCAACCAGAAAACATGGTTGACAAAAATGCGGGCAAGGCAAAAGCGCAAAAGCAAAGCTCAGGAAAGAAAGAAAAAGCACAGAAAAACAAAGGGAGAAGGAAGAAAGCAAGAAAAATAAAGATAGAATTTGCAAACGAACCAAGAAAGGAAGAAAGAAAGAAAAGGAGCAAGAACAAAGAACAGAAAGCAAGAGCGAGAAAAAAACACGATAGACTTAATACATCATGATCCAAAAGTCCACAGCTATGACAATGCTATCTTGGTCGAGGTGCACAGACTCCACAATGTCAAGGGAATCTGCCCCCAACTCGGTCAGTGTTGCCTGAGGCTAAAATCTGTGCAAATTCACGGTTCCCGTAGCTGGCGCAAATCCTGCAAAACTCTGACACAACGTTCGATCAGGTTGACATTGCGATCTGGCGTGGTTTCTGCGGCTCCTGCCTCTCTGGTCACCTTGCCCGCCTCCACTCCCAGCTGCTCGGCAATGACGTCGGCAACCTCAAGAAGCTCCACCCAGCCGACATATCGCCTATGTGCTCACTGTTCGAAGCTTAGTGTGATCAGGTGGGCAACAAATCACGACGAACATTTTGGGAACTCAATCTCGGATCCACACACGGTTTCGGATTCGGCCTTGCTTTAAACCCTTGCTGAATTTGCTGCAGACCTTTCAGCCGGTATATGCTGCCGCAATGCTAATCAAGTGCATTCCAAACTGAGCTGCGCCCACGCAACAATTGGTGGAACCCAAGTTGCGGCAAGAACATGCGTCATCACCATCACAGTTTGTGTCACTGGAACACGTGGACGCTATTGGGCCAAACACGTGCAAGCCCACCTTGCTCGCAGTATCATCAGTGGCTGTGGCCTTGCCGCCGCAATGCCGCGCCAACACTGACACTATCGTTGCTGCCGAGGTGTATCCAAAAGCGGGATTTTTCTGCAAGGTTCCTCAAAGGGAGTCCTCGAAGGGGGCCATTTCGACAACCATGTCATCCAGCAGAAACTTCCGGCGTTCGCGCAAGTGCCTGGAGGAAGACTGCCACAGAGCGCTGCGCGCGTGCGCTGGGAGCCGGCGAGACAAAGGTCACGGCCCTGCAATGCGCCAAATGCACCGTCACTCCAAATAGGGAACGTTGCTAGGTAAGGAACAAGACAAACAAAATCCTGGTGGGTGCTGAAGGGTATGGTTTAGACATGCGGTGTTTGGGGCGCGCCACGCCTGTTGAACCTGCCTTGCAAAGTGCCAACCGCCTGCTTTCAAACCAGTGGGATGAAATCCTCCAGGGGCTTGCAGCATTTCCCAGCGCGTCTCCGGGCGGTTGCCTTCCTTTTTCCAATGAGACACTAAAAAAACAGGGCGCGCTCGTTTGGCCCCAAGTGATCCGTGAAAAAGAAACTTGTAGTTTGTCGGTATCAAAACTGGAGATGCGTGCCCAAGAGGACTCCTTTCATTTGCCTTAGATGCCACTAAACAACAACACACCAGTCATGACCATCTCCCCTCAAAGCCAACAAAATCGAAAGGGGGACCCTCTTTTCCAACCCTCTACCTTTTTTTTGGTGGAAACCATAGCCAAAAGGTGAACTGGAATGGGGGGCCGCAACCATCCTACCGGTTTGTTGGCATGGTCCTCAAAGAAAACAAGGTCGACTCAATCGACGGGCCGGAAACAAAACAAGCAACTAGAGACAAATTCGCCTCGGCCCCAAGGGGGCCTCTAATCCGAAAGGGAATCTTCGCTTAACCACCCAAATTTGTGTCCTCACCCATGTCTGCTGGCCTAAGATCCTGTCCGGCGGAGACTACCCTCACAGCCCAGCCCAACCAGCAACTCACCCAAGCAAGGCCCAGGCAGGCCCGCCAACCGGCAGCGCAGTCCGGCCGCCTAATATTTGAGACTCGCCCAAGCAACTGAAGCAGGCCCAGCCCATCAACCCACCCAAGCAAGGACGCGTCACACAAACCAGCCTTGTCTCAACCTGACATGTCTGAGACTAGACTCACATATCTGAGACTAGCCTCAGGCCCAGCAGGCCCAGCCCAACCAGCAACCACACATCCAACGACGCCAGAACCTGTCCATGCCTGAATCGCCACCTGACCAGCTGGGCCAACGCGCAGCGTTTACAATTAAAGGGACGCGAAAGGAAGCTCATAGTCATGAAGCAAGCAGAAAAGAAACTCAAAGACTAGATAAAGGGACACCAACCGACTGATCCTCCAGGAACTCCGACCCTAGCTCGGTTGTTGATTTTTCGGTGCCCAGCTGGGGCCCATGGCCGGAGGAACACCAGGGCCAGCAAAAGCAGGAATCCGCTTGCACGACGGGCGGCCATGGCCTGGGCAGCCGAAAGCAAGCAGCAAGGAAATATTTACTGGGCTGCCCTCAGATCCCCTGCTAAAAGTTTAGCTTTTAGTGGGATAAATGGAAACTACCACTAAACACTGAAAAGCTAAAAGGCTAAGGGGAGGGCCGGGAGCCACCAAGTTTAGACAACCGCACTGACTACCTGTACCTTTTTGTCGTAAGTCAGACTGACATGTCATGAGCCGATCTTGCTTTACGCTCTTGTATGGGAGAAGCGCGTCCGGAAGCAAAGTTGCCAACCACTAAAAGGCTGCATCAAAAGCGCGATGAGTATATTGCACCCATGTACAGCGCTCTGGCCTGATATATGTAATACATGAGAGCTGCAACCAAGCAACGTCTGAGTCTGCGTGGAACTGTGCCGAGAATGAACCTATTCAGCTGCAGCGGTATGGACGATTTCGTTCGTATCACGCTGATGCGATTGCATCGAGCAACATGGTCGGAATCAATCAACCGTTCATGTCCCAACATACTAGCTCACAACGTCTCCACCAAGAGTAAATGCATGTCAGCGCGTGCCAAGGACAATATTGCACATGGACATGTTGATTGATTTGTCCAATGCATAAAAACTATAGAGATAACGAGGATACAAATAGTTATGCATTATACATGTATATGCATATACAAGTATATGTACATATATATATATATAGCAGCATACGCATACATCCATCGTCAATCAGCTGACGCTAAAAAAAACACGTTCAACTCAACGTGATATATTATGTTTTGTCATGATGCTTCGCTAGTGGTAAACCTGTGCTTGTGCCTGCATCGCGCGAAAACATACATACCATACAACTGCCAAACATGCTCTTTTAAGCCATGTTGCCTCCACACGCCTGACACCATATCATGCATTTGCCTGCAGCTTGCATGTCACCAACGTCCCCAATTCAGATTGGCCAAGATCAGCTCTGTCTTTCCGTCTGCGTTGCGGACACGTTGCGAAACTCAACCGAGAAAACTCGACACTCAATGAGTACCGACAAATGCCTCTTGCGGGCAAGCTCTGTAAAACACGGCAAGCACTCAGTCTCTTTCTCAGACTCAGAGTTTGCTCTGGATGAGGTCCATAACATCACCGCAGTTCTTCAGCGAAGTTGTCTCCTCGAAAACATGTGTCTGCCTGCGGAACATGTTTAACTCGAGCACTAAACACGGAGACACAAAAGCAAGTGCAACTCATCCGAGTGGACGTGGCTGTCCTCGTCAGGCAGCTCGACGTCGAAGGCCTCCTCCAGGGCCATCCTCAAATGGGCATCGCATTTGAGGTTTGGAGTCACGCGATGCAACCAGAAAACATGGTGGACAAAAAAGCGGGCAAGGCAAAAGCGCAAAAGCAAAGCTCAGGAAAGAAAGAAAAAGCACAGAAAAACAAAGGGAGAAAGGAAGAATGCAAGAAAAACAAAGATAGAATTTGCAAACAAACCAAGAAAGGAAGAAAGAAAGAAAAGGAGCAAGAACAAAGAACAGAAAGCAAGAGCGAGAAAAGACACGATAGATTTAATAAATCATGATCCAAAAGTCCACAGCTATGACAATGCTATCTTGGTCGAGGTGCACAGACTCCACAATGTCAAGGGAATCTGCCCCCAACTCGGTCAGTGTTGCCTGAGGCTAAAATCTGTGCAAATTCACGGTTCCCGTAGCTGGCGCAAATCCTGCAAAACTCTGACACAACGTTCGATCAGGTTGACATTGCGATCTGGCGTGGTTTCTGCGGCTCCTGCCTCTCTGGTCACCTTGCCCGCCTCCACTCCCAGCTGCTCGGCAATGACGTCGGCAACCTCAAGAAGCTCCACCCAGCCGACATATCGCCTATGTGCTCACTGTTCGAAGCTTAGTGTGATCAGGTGGGCAACAAATCACGACGAACATTTTGGGAACTCAATCTCGGATCCACACACGGTTTCGGATTCGGCCTTGCTTTAAACCCTTGCTGAATTTGCTGCAGACCTTTCAGCCGGTATATGCTGCCGCAATGCTAATCAAGTGCATTCCAAACTGAGCTGCGCCCACGCAACAATTGGTGGAACCCAAGTTGCGGCAAGAACATGCGTCATCACCATCACAGTTTGTGTCACTGGAACACGTGGACGCTATTGGGCCAAACACGTGCAAGCCCACCTTGCTCGCAGTATCATCAGTGGCTGTGGCCTTGCGGCTGCAATGCCATGCCAACACTGATACTATCATTGCTGTCGAGGTGTGTCCCAAAAGCAGGACCTTTCTGCAAGGTTCCTCAAAGGAAGGCCACCATTTCGAACGACAACCATGTCAAAAGCAACTGCCCCCCACCCTTGCTTGGAATGCCGTCCAGCTCTTTCTCCAGCCCTTTTTGGATTCACGCGAAATGGCCGGAATCCCCAGAACGCATGAAATGCACCCCGGACCCGGCGTTTTCGCATGCGAGGCTCGTGCAAACCTCAGGGCTACTCCAGCATTTCTGCGAGTCCCGCCTGGCGAAAAACTGCCACGGAGCGCTGCGCGCGTGCGCTGGGAGCCGGGGAGACGAAGGTCACGGCCCTGCAATGCGCCAAACGGACGACCTCAAAATAGGGACCTCCATTGATTGTAGGAAAGGAAAGGATTGAAACAAGTTGGATGATGAAGGTTCACAGGTGTCCGGATGAAAAACTAATCCTACGATGTTCATCAACCCTCCTGGTCTGCCGACAAGAGCGTGAAGATGGTAGGGGGCTATCTTGGGTCTGTAACGGTGCCACCAGGATCCTTGTCAAACTGGAAGACGTCAAACGGGCGTTTTTGGGCTCAAAATCGGATAGCTAACAAAATCGGATGCCCCCGTGTCTTCTTGTCTTTGACCAACACGGAGCTTCCAGCGGATTTGCCGAGGCTTTCAGCGGCTGCAAAGTTGGTCCGGACAGTCTTTGTTTCGAGTCGGTTTCGGCCCGGGCTGAGCGTCGCTGGATGGTCAGAAAATGGGGCTCATCTGTGACTTGGCGTCAGGTTGTCGATAGGACGAAAAGCATCCCCAGCATCATACATGGTTTTGGAAGGTTCCAAGCCATTGGGAGGCGTGAACCTTGATACATGCTCACAAAAAAACGGTCGTGGCGAGACGACTGGCTGGAGTTTGTTCTCAGCTCAAAATCCAAATTTGGATTGAACGACTGGGTCGGGCCCGTGTCGTGATTCAAGAGAAATGTGTCGGGAGCGTCGCGTCGGTGGCTCGCCTCGCCAACTCACTAAGGTCAACACGGCAATAGATGCTCCCCGCTAGCTGGGGCCCATGGCCGGAGGAACACCAGGGCCAGCAAAAGCAGGAAACCGCTGACACGGCGGGCAGCCATTGCCTGGGTAGCTGAAACAATTCAAGAAAACTGGACACAAACATGTGTGCGTCACGCAATGGCTATCTCTTGGGGTCCTGAATGTAATTGAAAACAGAACCTTTGTGAGCATACCAAAAAAACAAATGTGCGTGCGTGTGTGTGTGTGACAATACATGCAATGAAAAGAATCAGACTCGGTGTGTGGCTAGCTTTATGCAAACGGCTAGCTGTCACGGGCCAGCTTGGTTGTTTGTCCTCTTCCATTGAATTAAGCACGTCTGCAACCCAGAGCTGCACAACGACAAACAAAGTGCATCAAACGCGATAGACATGTTGTGAATATAATCGTCGGCTAGCACGATAAACGAAATTCATGATAAATGCAGCCCAAGCAACGCGAGTCTGCGTGGAACTGTTCCGCCAAGAACGAGCCCTTCAGCTGCAGCTAAACTTAAAGATGATCAGATATACATCGAATCGGACGCACAGCATCACTGCAAAAACAAAAAATGTCTAAATCAATCAGCCTTTGTTGATGCTCCCATTTGTGCAAACACAACGCGCAAAATGCATCAGCATTGGTCAGTTCAAGCGGTCTGCCTGTCACATGCGTAGATTGGTTGCCCAAACTCACACAACAAAAAAAGAAAATATACCAGACACAAGCTTGACACGTGCACACATGACATCGCTCAATTAATGTCTGTTCAACAAAGTGACATACCCTGTGGTTTTGATGCTCGCATTCCGCGGCTTGGATCAATTCAATGAGCAGTTGCTCTTAAAACGACGCATTTCGATGAAAGAGCCATCACGCAAAGCCAAACCCTGCAAGCACCCACATAAGCACAGTACGCTGATAACCCAAAACACGTGCCAATTGATTAACACCTGTTGCACAACGGACACTACTCTACGCCGCTCCTGCACATAGCTGCCGGAAAAAACGAGCAGTTGGATACAGTTCTGAGCGGGCGTGTTTGTCCGCGCGCGGATGTCGACTGAGTTTCCAAGCACCATGACGAGCGGCGAGCGACCGCAGCGACGCACTCGACGCTCTCAGTTTTCACAGAACGCGCGCGTCGCGGCCTCACGAACAGTCCGTCTTTAACAGTTTTTCTCATGTTCGTCCGTAAACAGCCAAACACTGGAGTTAGCATCTTGATCACTGCTTCAATCCGTAAGGGAACATGCATCCAGAGACAAAAGAGAACGACCGACAAAGGGTGCGCTTGCTCTTTTTCTTCATAAAGCGTTGCTTGGATGTCAAGGCTCGGGGGTGCAGGGGGAAAGACAGCGTGCGTCCTTTCCCCGTGTCTGCACCCCTGCGGAGCCTTCTCAATGCCCCCCTTCAGGGTTCCAAGCAAACGGCCTAATCTATTGCCCCCTCTTCAGAGCGTTTGCGAAGCACTCTTATGCTCCGGCCGCCATGGTGCGTCGGGCGGATGCAATGACAGCGCGGATTTATGGGGCCAGAAATCATGCGGGCAAAATCCTTGCTGTCGAACGCGGAAGTATTTCCGCGGCTGAGCTGATCAGCCCACACGTTGCGCCCCCGGGATGTGCAAGGCTAGCACTGACCATTTGCGCTTGTAAGCCCATGCCGCGACGAGAAGCGCAAAAATTTTGCAGGGGCCACGCTGTAGAAAACAGTTTGTCACTCTGGCCTTGGATGCAGTATTATCCGTGCCGGAAGACATGCAGAGGCCGCGCACGGCTTGGCCTTCGGTAGCCCAAGCGATTACGAGTGCAAGCTGGGCCAGGGTTTCAAAGCAAGCCTAATTGTATAGCGTTCTTTGGCAAGGCACGGCAATGTTGTTGGACATCCAGGTTTCTGCAAGCCAGAAAACGGATCGGCTGCCTATGCCCCCTGTGGTGCCTTCGGCACAGCGTCTGCTGCTGCTTTGCATCCAGGATTGCCTTGCTTTGCAACGGGCATGCCAAATCTGCCTGAAAACGTTCAGAAGCCATTCAATATTGGCTCTGCTTGCTTTGGGCAACCGAGTCTGTTCGGCAGGTCTGCCACGCGCACCCACGTGCTTTGTGACAAGCTTGAAAACCTTCCACCCCGACTCTGCGCCCCACCAGACAAGGTTTGTGACGGGGCAGGCATGCGCGCAGAAGACCCTCAGTGCCTTACACCAACCATCCAGACAAGGGTGGCGCAGGCTTGGTTGCAGTGGGCCAGAGAGCAACAGCTGATCCCGAAAATTCTGGCCCACTGGCGTGTCGTCCAAGCCGACACGCCAGAGCCTCCTTTTCCTCTTTGTCAATCAAGGAGTCCGAAGAGGCAGCGCTCATTGGTTTTGTAAGGTCGGCGCTCCCGTGGTCGGGCTAGCCGTATCGGCTGTCACTCTTGCATGCATTGGCCTCCGCGTCAGAGGACAAATATCAGACTTCTCCATTGCTTGCAGAAGGGGTCCCACAGGTGCCCACAGATGCAGTGGCCGCCCAAAGAAAACGCAGACTTGCCTTACAAGCGCACAGAATGCGTGGCAACTGAAAGGCCGCCAAAGCGGAGCCGTGCAGAAGGAAAAGAACCACGCCGGTGCTAGACAGCGCCGTGTGCGGGGTAAACCCCAAATGTATATCCTGGAGCGAGTCAGTTGCCAATGTGTCCGATGTTCGCCTTGCACCAGCCAGAAGACACGATGCCTCCTTCATGGGCTAGCTTTGACTTTAAGGCTGCGCGCAAGCAAATTAAGGCCACCCGAGCAAACGGCTTGCTCCTCTTCCGCTCTGTACCATTACCGAGTGTGCCACTTCGGAGCCCGGTTCTCCGCGTACTGGTGGCAACGCACTGGAGCATTCTTACTTAGGCTGCTACACGGGGTGTTATCAGCACACACCGCTTAAAACTCTAAAACTGAAGGAGCAGCTGCGTGCCCTGCTCCGATCAAAAAAATCAAGGAAAGCTTTTGGAGCAAGTTCTGGAGCTGCTCATTTGGGCCCCGCCTAAGCCTGAATTGAGGTCTTGGCTTGCGCCTGTGCAGATCCGCCGGCTGCATGATTTCCAGACGCACGCCTGTGGCCTGCACCCCGTGCGCAGCCCATCGGACTTGCCTAGAAGCTCGCGCACCAGCGGCAGGCTCGTGGAATATTCTGCCGTTAAGGTGCTTAGACAGCGCACTCCTGCATGCTAGCGTGCCTAGTTGTGATTGCGCGGGCTGCAAAATGCTGGATGCGTGGGTTGTTACACGCGAAGCACCACGATTTTGCGAAAGGCATGTTGCGCTGGCTGCGTCCACCCACGCCAAATGCCCTTGGAAAGGCTATGATATTGTAACTTGCAACGAAATTCTAAAAATGTAACTTGTCGCCATACAGAAGCGTTCGGGAATGCAGCCGTTCTAATGGTTCCATCAACACTCTAACCAACTCTAACTACCCGTGTTCTGTCACACCCTTTCCCTTCGGTCCTCAAAATGAGAGCCCCACGCCAATGATGACAAGACTTCCGACTCGATGTTGTTGATGTGTGTTTGACTCCAGGCACCATCAGCGCAGCTTGCAGCCCAAAGCAAGGATCTGTGTCCGGGTCTGGGTCATCAGATAGCCGCGCGGCGTCGTGGCTGCATCAGAGTGGGCACCCACTGGGGCTAGGCGCGTGTGTCACAAATGCAACATCATCGTCGTCGTCCGGCTTTGCCGTCTCTAACTCATCCTGAAACACGAGGTAGTTGGCCGCCGCCGTGGAATCAGCGTGTGTGTCAGCTAAAAGTCCCCGTGATGCAGCGATATTGCTCATGCACATTGCCCTCAAAGGCACATTCGGCACGTCTACCAGCGCGCCTCGACCCCTAGTCGGCTGTAAATGAGATCACCGACGCTGCATAGTGAGCAGCATGATAGCTGTCATTTTGCCTGCTCCATCCTGACTTCGCAGGCCATGCTCAAACCTGTCGTTACGCTCCTTTACCTGAAGACCTACAGAGATCGCCCAGTCGTGACCTGGCTCGCGGCTTGCGTGCTAGTTTATTGGTTGGCAGTGAGGGACACGGTTGTGCACCTAATCCGTTCCCCCTACTAATGAATGACCCCGGACCCCCACCATTTAATCATTTAATAAAAGAAAATGGAAATCCGGGGCCCGGCCCGAGACCAGATTTCCATTCCGCACAATTCAGTTTCCATTGCGCCAATACTAAACCAATACTAAAGTCATGGAATCCTTGTTGGGGGCCCTTTGAACAAGCTTCCAGCCCCACCTTTGCCAAAAGGTGGGTTTCCCGGTTTCCCCGCGGTTCCCCAAAACATGAATTCCTAAATAATATTTATATAATTCCCTGCGCCCCTGCCCCTGCACCCCAAAATCAAAATATTTGTTTAAGTGGGTCAATTGGGTCAATTGGGCTTGTATTATTGGGGCGGTGTCCCTCAAAAGAAAACATGTCCCCAAGGCCCCAAGAGCTGTCTAGCTGCGACTGTCTCTTCCCGTACATGCTGGCTAATTCACCTGCCTGGCTGAACAACCAGTAAACTGAAAAACAAATATCATGATGACATTACACATGCAAATTCCTTCGCTTACTCGGCGACCTTACAATTCAATCCATTTCCTCCAAATCCTATGTGAACCGTGAACCCTCACATTGTTGGAAAAGCCAAAAAGACAACCGGGCCGGGCCGGCGGCCCAAAAACCCCAATTAACAACATTGGGATATATTTATAATAGGGTGGGGGGCGGGGGGGAAGGGGGGGGCGTATTTATTAATATAGGTGGAAGAGGTTAAACAGCTCCGTTGCCATTGCCATTACTCGTAATTACCACCATTGACATCGATTGCTGTTGCTGTGTGAGACCTGCGTTGCAATCGGTCCAGAGATTCAGAGAATATCAGATATCATGACACAACTCGATGGGTAGGCGGTAGGCTAGATGGGCCCAGCGTCGTGGCAGCGATCCGAGGAGCGGTGCTACGCGGCGGGCTCTGGGTTTAAGCATATGAGGAAGATGATGAACGAGTGGGACGGAGGACAGCTCATCAGTTGGCGGTGGGGGTCGTTGATATAGGAGAACCCGTTGATCCGCCGGGAGCAAGCGTTGTGCTCTGCCTGGAGTCTGGAGAGATTTGGGAATCCAACAGTTGGTGCCGCAGCCGACAAGGCAATTTGCAGCCGCATTATTTGGGTTTATGCAAAATTTCTGGTCATCCTTTTGGGCGCCCTCGAGCTAAAGTCGCAGTGGTGCAAGGGTTCTTGTGCCATGACGATGCGATCTGTGGGTCGTACTGGACACGCCGGCGACGTCTGGCCGGCCGGCTGATGGCCGCGACCAGCAAGGTGTTCAGCTTTGGCAAGGGCGTGCTGCCCAACTCCCCTTGCGGTCGTCGAGCGGCAGAGTTTGCGCAGGGCGAGTTTCTCAGATTTGCGGAGCTCATGATTGACATCTTGAGGGAGAAGCTGCAAACGATCCTCACGGGCGAGCTCACGGACGACGAGCGCA